GTGTCGCCTGCCAATTACGTCATAACCCATCGATTTCCGGTTTTGTTTTGTAGAAAACATGGAAACACCAAAGACGCTAAAATATGCTGTGGGTTTTATTAGACCGGTGACGGCCGCACATTATAACATTATAAGTAGCATTATAACAGAACTTTCAAATGTATCTAGTATGATAAAACAGCGCTGCTTTTTCCCCCCCACATACGCACGACCGGAAGGAGCAGAAGCGGTCGACTGTGGCATAATAAAAGCTTCGCTGCTTTCGAGTCATGTGTTGCGCTCGTTCAGCGACCTCATTTCGCTTTGACGGCTTTCAGCCTCACCCTGCTTCATTCTACTACGTTAATAAATCATTAGCTCATCCATGAACATGATTTCTGCCCGAGTCCCGTCGGATTGCATCGGCTGTGGGGATGAAGACGACAACTCCCATGATTCCACACTCAGTCACGGCGTCATCTAACTACGCCTTTGTCTCTTTGTTTATTATGAATATGCGCCCTCTAGCGGCGAAAATTACATTGTGCCTTTAATGCCCTGCCAGACGCGCCGGGAATCCCCCTTGCTGAAATGTCCCTCTATCCTTCTTCTGTAAGCTGCTTTTGCCTCATTGATGCCTTTCTTTAGGTTGGATCTGGCAGCGCTGTATAATTCCATGTTTCCAGACCTAAAGGCTGTGTCTCGGTCCCTCAACAGCTGCTTGACGTGTCTAGTCATCCATGGTTTGCTGTTTTGATAATATTTGATCTGTCTCTCAACAGCAACATTATCAATACAGGTGTGAATATAAAACAAAACAGTGAATGTGAAGTCTGCCAGGTCCTGTTGTGCAAATATGTCCCATATGGTGTGCTCAAAACAGTCCTGCAGTTGTGAGGTTGCATCCTCTGGCCAGAACCTCAAGTATCTCACCTTAGGAATAGTTTTCTTAAGAGGTCTATATGCTGGGGTGAGACTGGCCCAAGTGAGGGCGGGTAGAGACTTTGGCCCAATCCCAATTCTACCCCTTAGCCCTTCCCCCTACCCCTCCGTTTCACGCACGAAGATTTTTCGGGACCACACTTCAAATGAAGGGGTATGAACTATCTCATCGTAAACTGGCTTCAGTAGCAACATGGCTGCCCGGGCGAATAAAAAGACACATAAATGTAAGCATTTTTGGCATTAATAAAGATTTAACGAAAAGTAATCATTTGTTTTATGTTCCATTCAATCTCTCCAGGAGAGCGCGCAGGCGCTGAATGGTTAAACACTAGCAAGAATTAAAAAGTAATGCAATTTATAAACTTTAGTGACGATGTGACACTTCCTCGATTGTGCAAGTGACAATTCCTGTGTGAACTGTGCAGCTCGCTTATAGATAGACACGATGTGGTGATTTGAAGCCATTTGCGTATTTTGAGAGAGAAAGAGAGCACGCGCGGTGATTCACTCATGCTGTTTGTGAAATTACGTCTCACACAAGGTTTTCAAATTACTTTATAAGTTATTTAATGAATAAATATAAAGGTGAGTACCTCACCTTCAGCATTATAGTTATTTTACCCGCGCTGGACAGAGACTGAGACGTGCCGCTGCATGTCGTGCCAAACCTCTCACGGCAGCGTCATCAGCTTGAGATCGTTTTTTTGAGATCGGCCTTTTTAGAGACCGCCGATCAAACATCCCAACTTAATTATCGGCCGATAGTGATCGGTAGCCAATCAATCGGAGCACCCCTATTTAAAAGAAAGAGTACAACTTTACAATCCGTATCCTGTCTCATGTAATCGCTCAACCAGTGTTTCAGCTACGCAAAGACATCAATATAAAGTCTTGTAAACAAAGTCCGGTAACGTCACATTTACCTCAGAAACAAACATTCGGTGACCATAACCTCATTAGTCAGCCAGAAAAACAAACTGTAGAGAGGGGCATTTTGCTAAATACATGCACAATATAACATATTCATTATAATTTTTACTGTTCTTATGTTTAATTTATGTTTGAATAAATCCATAATTTTTTTATGACAGCCACCATTTAAATGTTTATATTTAAAAAAAACGAATTGAAGTAAAAATATGATGTAATTGTAACTTTATTTTAAAAACTTCTTTAAGTGTAATTTTAGCAGTAAGCACTATAGCTTACAAATCAGTCAATTTTAACCTTCAATATTATAGTAATGTAGTAACAAATGACTCATGTACTGTATATTTTACAGCATTAGTTGAGAGATTTTTTTTCCTTGAGAAAATTTGGCAAGTACTGTACCTGATATATATCCAAAATATTGAAAACACTGAATCGAATCGAAAGCGTGTGAATGAGAATCGAATCGAACCGTGAAATGTGTGTCAAAACCCAGCCCTAGAATCCATGCGTTTTTGTAAGAAAAATATCCTTATTTCAAACGTAATAAACACTTTTCTCTCACTTCCGGTATCTGTCATACGTGGAAGCCATTCCAGCGGATGACGCAGGACGTATGCGCAGCACGCGCCTCTGAGATACGCTAGTCTCTCGAGTTTGTTTATAGGAGCAAAGGAAGCAAAGTTTCCTTACTTTAGCAAAGGAAAACCAGTCCCCTCTTGCTTTATATATCGAAATCCTCCGAAATTTTTCGTTGTAAATCTTTGGTTTGTACTTCTAATTCGTGACTGGCATTTTGTTTTGTTTTCTCTCCGCATTCATCACTAATCACGCAAAGCAAACATCCTGCATCATCTGCTGGAACGGCTTCTGCATATGACAGATATCGGAAGTGAGAAAAAAAGTGTTTATTACGCTTGAAATATGGATATTTTCCTGACAAAAACGCATGGATTCGCTACAGGAGGCCTTTATTCATCCCCCGGGGCCATGTGAGGCACGTTTTATTATGGATGCGCGCTTTATTTTACGACTTGTGGACTGTTAAACTGCAACACCCGCTGACTGCAATGATAGAGCTTGGAATAGCCAAGACAATTCTTAATATAACTCCAACTGGATTCGTCTGAAAGAAGAAAGTCATACACCTAGGATGCTTTGAGGGCGAGTGAAACACAGGCTAATTTTTATTTTTTTGGTGAACTAACCCTTTAACCTGAAATAGCAGAAAGTTTTGACAATGAAAAAGTTACACCACATTTGGAGACATAAAGATAATGTTGCTTTAAGACATTGCTTTAATCACAAACCTTCCAGATGAGATTTTTCTGTCTCTTTGAGGAAAATCTGCTTCAAGAATCCTTCTTCTGTATCTGAGAAAGAGAGGTAACCAATTAACAGTTTATAAAGGATATCAATTATGTCTTTAAAGCTGCAGTCCATAAGTTTTGCCTTTTTGTCGGCATCTGTTTGAAACCTGCAGTTGCAATTATTTGTGGAATTATCATGTTTACGTGGGTTGTGCATCGGCACAGCTCCTCAGCACGGATGAATCAAATGTTTTGAGGAGTATGTGTGGCTGTCAGTCACCGCACCGGTGCGGATACTGTTCTTAGGAATCACAGATTCTATGTCTTGGAAGTATGACCCAAATAAGAATTTTCAGAGGAAAATGTCATCAGAACAAGTAAGCAACATGTCTTCCACTTTTGTTCTAACTAACTGAGAAAAAAAGCATTATAATATATCGCAATAACAATAGTGATTAAATCTAACAATCGCTTAGCTCAAATCACATAAAACCATGCAAAAAAAAAGTGTATTTAGTGTATATTAGTGTTACCTGTAGATTTCGATTTCTGTACAATATAATCTCTAATTGTCATACCTAGGGATATGCCGGTATCAAATTTTCATGTTGCGATTAATTGCTAATGCTTTTATCACGGTATACGGTATTATCACGGTATTGAAATGTAGTTTTAAAAAAAAAAGTGCTGTCATAATACAGTATAACAGGTTTAATAACTTTTTTCTTATAACAAAAATAACTGAACATTTAAATGCAATAAAGCAATACAGAAAAGTGTATAAAGTTAAAAGTTTTACACAGATTAAAGTGCAAAAGAACTATAAAGACCAATAGGTATCACTTTACAATAAGACCTCATTAGTTAACCTTAGTTAATGCATTAACATTCACAATGAGCAATAGCTACATTTGCTACAGAAGTTATTAATCTTTGTTTAAAAAATACAAGTCTTAGTTCATGTTAGCTCATTAAATAACCCAGTTGCAACTTTTCGATTTTAACAACGTGTTATTAAATATTGGAATATCTAAGACTAATGAATGTTCAGAAGAATTTTTAATTGGCAGTTTGTTAACTAATAAATTAACTAATGTTAACTAATGAAGCCCTAATGTAAAGTGTGACCGAACAATAAAGAATCAAAACACTTTCAAACAATATCTAGGGCATGTTGTAGTCCAGATTAAAATGTAAAAAAAGATTGAAAATAAATATCCTATTAAGTCTAAATATGCGTGATATATCGCATTACCGAATACCGGCACAAGTCTAGTCATACCATTCGAATTTCATATAAAGAAATTGTTCTTTTTAGAGATCGACCGATATATCGATTTACCGATATTGTTCCTGATATTTAAGCATTTTACAATAATTGGATATCGGTTTTGTCATATCGGATTCACCGATAAACGCCGCCATCTTGTGGCTGTTTCGAGAATTGCGCGCAGGATCACCATTGCAGCGCATCTGAAGGGAAACAAGACAACAACAATGGCGTGCACGGGTACTTGATTTACTGTAGTTAGTAAACTTTATTTAACATAACAGCCATTAATGCACAAA